TGCCTAATGCAGTCTGTTCAGCACGATACCATGATTAGGAATTGAAAGCTATTGAGAGGTGCTAGAGAATTGATGGGGTCACACTCCCCTGTCCCTCTTTTGACGTAGGGTATCCAAATGGTTTCTCTTTCAAAACCAAACCTGCAACCCTGCTGAAATGAATTTTAAAAATCAGTTTTATGCAAGAGTTTTAGAATTTGGCTTCTCAAGCACATCACCCAGGAATGGGATGTTGGCAACCAGAATTTTGGCAGCAAACAATTGATCTTTTTTTGTTGCCATCACCAGAATCCAGCCATTGTGTTAAAAACTGATATCTTTTAACAACTTTGTAAAACTACCTGTATAGTTTTTCCTCTTTATTGCAGAGGAAAGCATCACCAGATCCTAAATCCCTTTTATAAGAGAAAGCCTTGTGCAGGGATTTATAGTGAGAACTACGTAGTTCCTTGCTATAAGCATCGTAAGTCTTCTTTCTGTTCCTCCCACTCCCACAAATCTCTGTTGATTGCAGTGATGGGGGAAGAATTTAGCCACTGGGTGGCATGTAAAGATGACACAACCTGTAGACATATGAACCCAGAAACAAAACTGCAGCTGTTGGTTCTAAATTTAAACCAGAGAACCTGCTCCAGTCTTGTTCTAATTCAACAGCCGAGCTACAGCAAAACCAGTTCTGGAAGTTACTGAGATAATTTAAGGGTAGTATTGAAAAACAACAGCAAACAATTCAAGAAATATTTTATTCCAGTTATGTTTCTTCAATTTTTCACAGTAAGTACTGTTTAATCTTCTGGATAATAAAAATAATTGGTTGTAAATTTAACATTGTATATATTAAACTTGCTGATATATACACCATTTGGCATTTGAAAGCAGTGGCAAATTAGCGTGTGTGAAAGAGGGAAAGGGGAGAGGAAGAGTAAGGCCATGGAGGGTTGAGTTATGTAGGTTAATTTATAAGAAAATATATTCATCAAAGCCTTTCTTATTTTGGAGCAAATGTAGTCATAAGAATACAAACTATTAACAAAGTTTTATGTGAAACCCTGGGAATGTTTCTGACACTGATATCACCCATGGGTGCTGTCTTCGGGGGCTAACATAATAAACATTTAGAAGAAAATGAAAATGAGCTGCTCACACTTTCAAAGGCAAGCACATGAACTTGGATGTTCACTGGACAAACTGCTCAGCAGTGTGGGGAAATGCCACAAGATGTGCAATTGTGCATGGGGTACACATGGATGTACAGTGTTCCTGATTCAAGCCAGCAGCTTCAGAAAATAGGCTTACCTAAAGTGAGCAAGATGATTGTGGTGCTCCTGCTATTGCAATTATTGATCCATTACATAATGCTTTGCATTGAAACATTTGTTATCCTGTTGGTCATTGTGCATTAATGTCCAACCATGAAGGCTTTGAAATGAGGCTGAAATGAGGCTTCTCCAAAGCCATTCAGTGAGTGTTGTGGTGGCCACACTTATCAATAAATGCATGGGAGAGACATCCCTGAATGCTTATCCAAATTATGTGAACCGATGCTGATGCTGATTTTCTAAAATGCTGGATGATTCTCACACCTTCTGGCCTGGATGCCCCTATCCTAGAGACAGGTGGGCTGTCTGTAATGAAAAGGAGAGACTCTGCACATGTTTAAAGACCACTCTGAGAATTACTGTATTTTTTGCTTTATAAGACACACGTTTTCCCCCCTCAAAAGTAAGGGGAAATGTCTGTGCATCTTATAAAGCGAATATGTGTGTGCAGTAAGTCTGTCAGATGTGCAGCCCATGGGGAAGTGATGGGGAATGTGCCTGTGATTATGTGCCCATTTGATTCAGAATATTTTTTTTTCTTGTTTTCCTCCTCTAAAAACTAGGTGTGTCTTATGGTCAGGCGCGTCTTATAGAGCAAAAAATACGGTAGTTCTTTTTCTAGTACGGAAAGTGAGTTCTGGATCATAGCACTTGCTGAAGCCTTGCTAAGTTTGCTTGATGTCTGGGTATTCTTTGACACACATGTTTCTGCTAGGCATTCTTCTTTGTCTTCCATACAAACAAACAAACAAATGGCCATGATACAAGCAACATAAGCACAAAAGGTTGCACCAAAACTGGTCTCCTGTGAGGGGAAGGTCTCTGCTTGTTTAAAGAGCCGCTTTCCAGTTTGGGGGCATGTCCCTTGCCTCCTAGACCGTAACTTATCCCATTCAACAAAACGTCCTGCAGTGTTTTCAGATGGCCGGAAGGAAGGAGCAGGTGGGGAGGCCAACTTTGGTCTTTGCAGTGTATCCAGCATAAATCTGGATATAACCCAAGCACTTTAAAATGCTTGCTTATCTTTATATATTTACAAAGAAGCACTGATTTACCTTTTTTCCGCCATGATTTTGCAGCTTCATTCATTAGGGAAAAAATGGCACAAAGAAAAGAAAAAGTGTGTAAGTGGAGGGCAGGAGGATGGCTGGATTTACTTAGATGATGAGGAGAACTTTGCTTAGATGTTATGGGGAAGCGGAGTTTAACTCAAGAGATTTAGCAATAGGACTTTGAATCGGTCCAGATCTTATGCAGCAGATCCCTCTCACAGACACCTTCTCCCTCCCCAGTATTGACAGCTGAGGGTTCCCTCCTGATTTAGGTCTTTCCTGGAGAGAAAAATTGACATCAATTTCCTCTCTGGCTTCCTGTATTTACCAGGTTCCTGCCCATTCTTAACCTTCTTTAGTATTCAGTTATTATCCTCTCGCCTTTGGTGTGTGTTATAGTTTGAGTTTGTTTTGCTTTGCTTTCCTTCCTCTGTCTGGTTATTATCTTTGTATATTGGTTCACCTGCCAGTCAAAAGATCTCAGAGAGCCACTTTATATCCTGTAAGTGAACCTCAGATTTTAGTGGGTGAGAACAAACCAATGCAGTCTTTCTAACTCTTTTTATGTTGACCATTTTTGTCTGTTGTGCTTTTTGTGGGGACAGACAGATTATTCTGGGATGTAAGATCCCTAAAATCACAAGATGTTAGTTGATTTTTTTCCTTCTCATTTTCCTAATTACTTAGGAAATTATTGGATTGTTTTATCTCAAAGAATAAGGATAGGCTAGACATGCACATGGTGGGCATGTCGTGAGAGAGCCGGCTGGCTGGGGGTCAGACTAGATGGCCCGGGAGGCCCCTTTTGACTCGCTCTGTTTCTTTGTTTCTAACTTTTGAAATAACTGGACAACCAATGGTCTTAGGGTTCTGCTCCACTCAGGAAAGGTTCAGCTGTCCACTTTGTGAGGGGGTGGTTCCTTCCCCATAACACAGCTCATCTCATTCAGCAAGGTCTCTGGACTCCCTCTGGCCTCCAGCATTTTTGTGGGCCTGGGGAGCTATTTTATGATAGAGGGGGTTGGGAATTACACTTCCATTAACACAGTTGATTCTACATAAATCTGTCACCCACCTCTTAAATTTTTCCTTTCACCCACTATGAATAAATATGCAGCATTTATAGATGGTATTTGTCGCCAAGTCGACTAGCTAAGATGTTTTCAAATATGTCAAATAGATGTTGGAAATGTAAACATAAAGTGGGTACGTTTTATCATATGTGGTGGACTTGTGATAATGCAAAAAAGTATTGGATTAAAATACATAAATGGATGGAGGAAATACTACAAAAACCCTTTGCTTTTAAACCTGAAGTTTTCTTGTTAGGCATTATACTGGAAGGTATTAACAGACAGGAAATGTATTTGATGTTACACTTAATCACAGCAGTGAGGATTGCATTTGCTCAATACTGGAAAAGTGAGGAACTACCCACCAATGAACTGATTCTAAGGAAGATTTTGGACTGCGCAGAAATGGATAGATTGACTTTATCATTGAAGGAGAAAGAAGACACTGACTTCTATCAAACTTGGGATTTTTTCTATAACTGGCTGGAGAAACGGGACTTGGTGTAAATTTAGAGATGTTTTTAAGTTATTATAACTGATTTGAATTTGACTATAGAATGTTAAAAAATATGTAGTAGGGGGTTGACCCAATAAATCCGATGTATGTGATATTTGATGTTTGTAGTATTAGTTTAAAGCTTTAATAAAACTTAAAAAAAAATATGCAGCGCAGATTAGCACTACTCTGTGTGTGTGTGTGCACACATGTATGCGCACACACATGTTCTCAGGTAAGCTCAGTGATAGAAAGGCTATAATACAGACTGGCTTTGTATTATACAATCAGTCAGAAAGAATAGGAGAAAAGATGTGTTTTAAATCAACTCTGGAATGGATCTTGGGGTTATTTTAGGTGCTGTAACAGCTTTCTGTATAACGAGATCTGCCCAGACAGCTCTGGCTTGGGGCAACTTTCTTGTCAGAGTTGTGCAGAGTATCTGTCTTCCTCCATAAGGACTTTCTTAGGTACCTACAAATTCATGGTTAGAGAAATAGAATAAACCAAAAGCTCATCAAAAATGGCTTTATCTTGGCTCTACATGTACTGGATTCTCCTTACCAATAGAAGTGTGTGCATGTGCGTGCGCACACCAGACAGAAAGAGAACCTAATTCCATACACTTAAAACCTTTGTAAGTCCCCTTTACTTCAGTGACCACAGGTCATGCCTGTCATTCAGCGAAATGTGAATCCAAGCCATGATCTACACTGTTGTGCATCACTCTCAGATCTGTTTTGGTCATGAGTGATATAGAAAAGTGTCAATAAATAAATATATATGCTCAGTTAACACAGGGCTTCCAGGTAATCCAGAAGTCTATAGTTAACTTTAGAGTCAGAAATATCTCAGCTCCCTATGGACCATTCTCTGGGCTGGGTTATCTGATTGTGCATTGAACAGCATAATAATTGTCTGGTTGATAACCAACTGAGATCAATAACCAGCTGAGTTTGCCTGTATCTGCTTCCTCCTTGTGCGGTGTCTTCCTTTTTGTGGAAGGCAGTGGAGAGGGCTCAGTTGGAACAGTAACCTCACTCTTAGTTATCTTTGACAGACGAATGCGGAGCCACCCAAATTGAAAAGGGAGGATTCAAAAAGTCGGAGTGCTTTGTTACATGAGATTCAAAGAGGGACTCGATTGAGAAAAGTAACTCAGATTAATGACCGAAGTGCACCGCAGATTGACAGTAAGTCTTCAGCTTTTGGGACTTCTCAAAACAGTGGGCAGGCAGCCACATCAGAACAAAAATCCTTGTGCAGACAAACCTTTTTGGTGGATGGAAGGCTTGGGTGTGAACCATGCTTAATTGTGTCATCAATGGGACACTTGTGGCCTACAGGATATCTGGGCCTGCACCTTGCACTGCAAATGTTGAAGGTTAGTGGGAGCTGCGGCCAAAGTATCCTGAAGCACCAGATTGGAGAAGAGACTTGTATAGATTTGTGGACTTTGACTGGTGTTGTGGGAACTGTCTGAGATAATAGGACGAGAGTTGAGAAGATAAATAGCAAAAGGGGCAGCAATGTCTTGCTGGCCCAGGTTTATCGGATGCTTTTGGTTCTCCCCTATAAAATGCCTTTGAGATTTCATGTCAGCTATAGCCATTCCCAGATCTGTTTGAATGACAGTGGATTTACAACTCATTGAGATCCATTGTTTTAAGATACCACTTGTTGTAAGCTGCCTAGGAAGGCCTTTTGGCAGTTATAGACAGCCTATAAATAGGCGAATGAATAAATAAATAAATACTTGCCAGGGGGTTACTACATCGTTCTAGCATTCAAAAACAGCGATATTTTGTGATGGCAAAAGTGGATAATGCTGTTTACAAACTGATGGGAGTTTCCTTTGTCAGATATTGTTCTCCTAGTCTAGCTCGTCTATAAATAAATAAATGGTCCAAAGAGGGTTAGTGACTTGGGCTGTTTATCTTGCCATGTGAAAAGCCTCATTAAAGAAATGATCCCACCTTTATTCTGGCACCAGGTGGCGCTGAGTTCCAAGATGTTAAGTATTGCATTATTGCCGCTGCGGCATCTGTCAGTTCCCAGTTCATTAAATGCACAAGGAAAGATAGAGTGCAAAGATCAAATGTGCCAGTAGCTCTGAAAGCTTCGGTGAAATGTCACATCTTTAATGGATGTATTTTCTGGTCACAGCTGGCAGAAGAAGGGCGAGCAGAGACGGAGGAAGCTCTGGAAGCAGCCGAAGCAGCGATGTCCCTCAGGCGCTAGGGAACCTCTTTGCAGAAGGGTTTCCTGTCCTAAGACCAGTAAGCCAAAGAGACCTGATAGGTAATCATATTCTCTTTGAAGCTCCAGGGCTAACTAGGCCCTGAATAAACAGGACCAGAACGTATCTTTCTTACATAAGTTGGAAAAACACCAATTTGTTTTTGTTTTTTGTGTTTTGTGTTTTGTTTTGTTTTGTTTATCTCATATGGGTGTGATGGTTTTAAAGAGCATCAATTATTTTTGATCCTTTGCTTAGTGCAACACTGTAGGACAGTTTTCTTTGCTGTTCGCCCAGCAACAACCAATGTTACTCCATGGTAGGAAAACCACTTAAATATTTTATCTATTTTAAATAAGCAAACAAACCATTGTTATCTGCTGTTCAGGTGGGGCTCTCAGAGTAGCTTGTTCATAGAACCATAGAAGAAACATGGAATAAAAATCCATACAATACAACACTGCACTGCCAGCTATGTAAAATCTAGCTTTAAAAGCACTAAAATGCCTGAATAAAAACAAGAGGTTTTGCCTGGGGCCAAGACGAAAATAAAGTTCGGATCTCTTGGGAGGGAGTTTCAAAAGATCAGATCAGCGAACCTCTCTAGCAAGGGAGTTTCAGAGATGAGGTCCTGCAATGGAAAAGACCTTGTCTCTGACCATCTGCCATCTTGTTTCATGCCATGGTGGCCAGGGGGCACGGAGGAAGTGTTTGTGGTTGATCTGAAAGCCGGAGCTGGCATGCTCCGGCTCCCACACCCAAGCCATTCTGGACTGCATCTGGGAGTCCAAGGCATGGCTGTGCCAAACCTGCCACATGATTTGCACATCTGGCCCCGAGTAACACTGCTATGTGCTGCTATGTTTGCACTAACTGTGGCTTCCAAGCACTCTTCAAAGGTGACCACTCATCTCTATAGTCTCAAAGAGGTGTCACCAGAATATGGATGACTGTGGCCAACTTGCAGTCCTCAGGAAAGGAAAATCAAAATAAAGCAACTGAGAGTTTAGGAGAGGAGAAAGACTTATGGAGGAATAATCTGGAGAGCTAACGAGGCACACTGTGGATGAAGGACAGGTGACAACTCCTGAATCTAGGCCTCAGCTGAGTGCAGCTGCCCTGGGCCATCTCTGTCACTTCTGTGCGATATAACTGAGATGGACATGAATGTTACTCATCTCTTCAGAGCAGGACATGTGACATTCTGTTGGCCTTAATGAAGCAAACTGTTGGGGTTTCAGCTGCCTCAGCAATGCCTCCTAGGAAATGACCAGGTTGCTGTAGGCACTGCAGTGTCTGCAAACAAATCTGTAGGACTGGAATGACAAGGTAATGTTAATCTATGGCAAGGAAAACAAGATGAGCATTTATGAAGAGCTGGTGAGAGGAGGGGAAATCCTCCATTTTCTTGACCCACCTTGAACTGATGGATTATTTGCAGGTTCTAAAATGTCTGTGTGGTTTTTAGGCTGCACGTGTCTCTGGATGTGTTTTGCTGTTTCCTAAAGCCTTTGGTTGATTGCTTTAGCCAGCAGGACTGGGAAGCCACCTGCCGCAAGGACATCGCTGCCTCCAGCTTCTCCAGCCCCGCTGAACACTCCTGGGAAAGCCAGTGGCAACCTTCAGTCTACACCTGATGACCCAAAGCCAGCAGATGTGTCAGAAGCGTCCAGGGTCCAGCGGGCGGTGCCAGCCCGTCCCAGCATCCCTGCTCCTCCCAGCATCCCCGCACCTCCACCTCCCCCACCTCTGCCACCCCCGCTGCTGCCCCCAGCTTGCTCAAACAAACCTTCTCTCGTTTTTCCCCCTCCTCCCCCTCTTCCCCCTCCTTCAACCGAAAGCCCCGACAAGCTCCTTTCCCCAAACGGTGCTGCTCAGACTCCTAAAACCCAAGCCTCTCCACTGCACCTCCCCTCACAGCCACTGCCCCCTCCGCCTCCTCCCCCCTTGCCTCTGGCGCCCCCTTGTGGGCCAGCAGGACGAGCAAGCGAGCAACCCTCTGCCTCCCACCCTGATCTGAGAATGAATCACCCTCCTGTGCCCCCGCCCCCACCCCCGGCACCTTCCATGTCTACCTTTTCCTCACGCAGAACCTCCTTGTCACCGCCTCCCTCGCCAACCGGGAGCAGTGCCTTGTGCAGCGGTGCTGATCCTGCCCCCCCACTGCCCCCCAAATTGCCATTTGTGCACTCCCAGTTACAGAAGTCCAACGTCCATTCTCTGCCTGTTCCCCCAGCCCCTCCTGGCACACAGCAGGTGGCTGGAACACATAGGAGGAGACAAGGAAGAGGTGCAGGTAAGGGGGGGGCGCGCGCTAGCTGGGTCCCCTCCAGTCTGGAACTTGCCCCTTGGGCTCTGTAAGTCCTTGTTCCTCATCCATCTCCCCTACCCATGTCTGTTGAATACACAGGTGTGTTGCATACGGTCCCGAAAGGCTCCCTTAAGCAATGGCTTGTTTTATTCTTTGCGTCACCTCTCTCCAAAGCATGCCAAACTCAATCGTTCTACTATTTTTCAGTGGTGGGGTGGGAGGGAATTCTTCAGTTTAGACAAAAATCAGACAAAAAGTAGGACCAACTTGACAAAGCATCTTTATTTTAGTTATCGATTTATTTGTTTAAAATTTTTGTATGCTGTCCCTCATGCATAGCATCTCAGGATGGCTTACAATCATCATTGTAAACATCACTGCAAAATAAAAGAACATATGTTCAAACCAGAGGGAGGGAATAAGAACAAAAATGTTAAGAGGTCTCACTTACTGAAATCTGGTGAACAGACAGACCTGGTGCACAAGTCCCTGTAAGCAACAATGACAAACTAATGGGACTGACAGAAAGAGTTACACACCATTGTGGGGCCATTTAGAATCTGTTGATGTATTCAAAACAATCCAGTGGTACAGCTCTGCTGGGAAGGTACCACTTCAGGTCTCGGGGTGGATGGGTAAATGTTTGACTGTTCCTTCCAGTTCAAAACTGGAACCATCTTGACCATCAAATTGAGCCCCTTGGATAGAGGGCCAGACTATATTTTTTTTCTGTATAGTCAGCTAACTTCTGAGTACAGGGTGGAGTTCATAGGATTTATCTGGATTGTGTTAAATTTCATGTTCAGCACTTGCAGTTTCAAAGACCACAGCTTGAATAGGGCTGTACCAAAGGAAAGGCAAGTGGGGACAGGACTGCTTGCTTGTTCCCCCTCCCTGGAGAAATTAATGCTACACACATGGATGCCTGAGGGTGGAGGCTATGTCACATGTAATATCGGAAGAAGGAACTGCATGGCGTGTTAATGTGGGGTGGTTGTTTTGTTTCGATTTTTTGATTTCCAAAACAGGGCTTATGTCTTGGCCTACTTGGCCTGGAATGTAGGAAGGGATATAACTGCAACAAGACTAGCATGTCTCTTCTGAGTCCTTATCAAATGTTTTTTCTCTTAGCTAAGCTGATGCCACCACCGGTTCCTCCTGCAAGGTCTCCAACAACTGAGCTCTCAAGCAAATGCCAGCTCACTCAAGTCACTCCATGGCAGGTTACGCACGACCTCTACCCTTCTCTTAAGAACGGAACGGTGCACATAATCGGTAATGAAACCCAGCACGTCTTCCTTTACTCTGCAGAAAAGAAGCACATGAGGAAGCATGAAGAAAAGACAAACTCTTCTCTTCTCACAAAGTGATGGCTTTAGGGACCCATGCAGGTGTTTAAAAAATTTGGTCCACTTAGGAATAGTATTACAGGCTGAACAAGGTTTTAGACTTAGAAGACAGAATAAAGGCAGAGATAAATTATTTTTAAGCATATCCCTTTGAGCTTGTTTGTGGAAAATTTTAGATATGATATTTTAGATATTTAGATATTTTAGAAACATGGATGATTATTGAAATACTCAGAGAAAAAAAATGGTTTTGATAGAATCTTGATAGGAGACAAACATGTATCAGTTACTCTTGACCTAAATAGTTTAGTGGACTGATCTATGTAGAACTGGATTTTAAAGCTGAAAGACCAAAATTTCTGAATAGTTGATTTTGATGCTTTATCCCCATCTGGTACCATTCTTCTACAATTCCTTTAGTGTGCAATCTTACACACACACACACACACACACACACACACTCCCAAGTAAATACGCACACACATACACCCTGGGAGTAATTTCCATTGTACACAATGGAAATTATTTCTGACTGAATAGGTATGTGTCTTGTTAATGTGTCTAGGATTGAGTTGTAAGTCTTTGATAAGTTTTCATTGTAATTCAAACTTCTTTTTAAAACTTTCTCCAGATGATTTTGAATCTAAATTTACTTTCCATTCTATGGAAGAATTTCCTCCTCCTGATGAATTTAAGCCATGCTTAAAAATTTATCCAAGCCAGGTAGCTAAAGGTAAGTGAAAATGTCTAAAACTGTGTAGACATTTCAGCTCAGATGAGGCTACGGAAAATAGTTACAATTCCTATCATGCTCCCATGAGCCATGCTGGAGCATCCTGAGAGTTATAGGCCTTTTTTCTATCTAATGCCAGGATTTTATTCTTGCTTAAACAAGAGAAACTGAGCTGTTGGACTGATGGTGATTCCTTAAAACCTTGTAAGAAACAAGAAAAATGACTCAAAATAAAGAAAAGGGTCACAAAACAGAAGTTTGATAGGTTAGATCATGTAGTTCACAGGAATCAATCAGTTTTGTTGAGGGCAAGCAGTGGGTACAAGCAGTCCTTGAGTTACCAATGAGTTCTGTTCCTGAGAAAGTGGAAATTCATATTTAAATTGAATTTACATGTAAGTCAGATCATGTATAGTTGGCTCTCCACATTTGCAGGGTTAGTGGGTGCAGGACCCCATGAAAGTGGAAAAATTGCAAATACCTCTAGTACCCCACTCCCAACTCTGAAACAGGGAAATGCTGGAGAGATCTGTGGGGTAGGAAGGCATGCTTTGGGGCCTCCCTCTCTCCTCTTTTGCTTTCTCTTTCTCTGTGGTAATGACAATTTTCCACAGTAATTTTTTTAAATTAATAGACTTTATGGCAGTTCATTTGTATGTAAGGGTTCTTACAGATGTTCATAACTTGGGGACTGGCTGTAATAAGTTCTAGAAAGCATTTTGCTAAACTCAACTAGCTTGCTCCATCTGGGCCATGCATGCATAATTAGCAATGCTAACTAATCAGATTCATATATGCTTAATTACCCAAGACTTTATAAATTTCTAGCACAGCATTCCCTAACATGATGTGTTGGAGAATAACAGGACACCCTTCCAGATGTGTTGGCCTACAACGCTTAGGACCCATAGCCATGCTGCTTACAGATGACAAAATACATAGTTTGATACTTTTCATTTTGCTTAAAATGTTTTTTGCTTTCGATCCTACGTCGGGACATAAGACTGACAAACACAAACTTCCACTGGCAGCATATGGCAGCATAACTCAGGGCACAATCCTAAACCTCTCACTGTTGTGTAGGACAGGCACGACAACTGGGACCCCAAAAACTGAACCCGTTCCCTGTTTCTCTCAGAGCTAGCATGGGAAAAACCATTCTGGCTGCCTCCTGGAAGTTGCAGCTGAGCAAAAGGGAGGATGGTTACTTTGGTCAGTGCCTCTTAATACCCCAGTTCTTCCCTTTCTCTCCCCATTGTTTTCATTAGATGGTCTTCTAGAAAAAATATGGAGGAGATTTCTGTTGCCAGGCCTCACTCCATACATTGGAAGCAAGTAAGCCTCTGAGTTTGGAGGCTTATGTGTATCTAAGGCAGAGGGAATTGGACTGTGTCAATAACATTTGCTAGGGGAGCAGACAGATAGATCTCTGGGAATTATTTTGCGACATGCCACTCGGTCTGTCCCAGAGTCAGAAATGCTCTATAATGCCATGCTGTATAATGGCATTATATAGCTCAGGGACAGACAAAGCTACAAAGCTTCATGTGCATGTAGCCAGCATAGCTCATTGTGAGGGTGATGAAAGCTGCAGGTCAAAACACATGGAGAACCCCAAGTTGTCCTTCCTGAGAAAACAGGCCAAATTTGCCGAATGTACGATTCTTTTGTAGCCATGTCAAATGCAAGCTGCATGTCCAGGCACATCTCTTGTTGGCTGCAAAGACCTCCAGCCTTGGTTTCAGCAAGATATAGATACATTTATTGGGGTATATATACACACACAGTGGACCGAAGTGACTTTTAAAGTGCATGGTCAGACACATGGCTCCAGTGTGGCTTATTGACTGTTGAGCAATAGGAATGTTAGGAATGTTAGGAATGTTACAGCATGCTTCTTCCTTCCCTTTTACAGAGAGCACCAACAATCCTCCTTTGAGAACACAAGTGAGATGAGAAGATCCAGGCAACAGAAGCATTGCAGAAAGAGTCTTGCAAATGCAAAAATAGTATTGCAAAACATAGCACTTTGTTTTGAAGAACACACAATACATGAAGACAAAACTTGTGCTGTGTGTAAGATCCTATGTGGGACTTAACAACCGGTAAATGCTGGATGGACTGGCAGTGCATGAGCTATTTGGATGCAGTTGGAACATATTATTGTGCCGTTCAGTGTAAATCGCTTTAAAACTGACCTTCTGCATATTGTCTACAATTCTATGGCGTATTCCACATAATTCAACTTTATTTCTTCATGATTTGTTCACATTGTGCAGGATGCCATAGATGTCACAGGCTGCTATCCTTGACTGTAGCATTCACTGAACCTAAAGAATTAGCTCCACCAAGTAAACTCTACCCCCAAACAGCATTTGTTGTATTTATCACATGTGTGCAGGCTCCACCCCCTCTTTACAATTCTGTACTCTATAACTTTTTATAAATCCCTTTCTAATCTCCCTTGTGGCTTCTTTAAAGTGGCTTTCCAGTTAATGCAATTGTTTATATTTCCAGTGGAACACTACATGTATGCACGTATGTATATTTGACTGCAAAATTTTCCGACAGTTGGCCATCAGCACTGCACAGGAAAGACTTAATTGTTGGTGGGTACCTGAAGGAAGACATAAAGCTTCAACTTAATAGGGAGACTGGAATACCTTATCTTAAATCTCTCATTCTTGATGACTTTCCCATTAGACAGAAGCATCCATCATTTGAATTAGGAAAAAAAAGGGAAACTTGCAAGGGTTGCTCTACACAAGGCATTTATTGTGCTTTTGAAATTCCTCACCCATGGTTGATTTGGGTGCTTTATCCATCATTCTCATCCTGTGTTTTTCTTAGCATTTCCACAGATTTTTTTATGACAGTAACGAGCCACTGGGGACTAGTATGCTGTGAAATGCTTCAAAATGCTTGTGTGTTTTTTCCAGTTCTGTTTTACGGTGGCACCACCTTGTGATTGTGCAGCGAAGCAGACAGAAAGGCAGAGAAAGAAAAGTTCTGGCTGGTATGGGGATAGTGCGGATGTGTGAAGGAGCTCCTCTTAACCTCACAAGAATCTAGAAGCAGAAGTGGCAGTAAAGTAGAACAATAAAGCGTATTAAAAGTCTAATGTAAAAAGCCCCAAGTTAAATGGGCTGTTGAAATACAATCATAGTATGCATATTCACTCTTTGAAGACCCTATTACTACACAACTGCTCCTAAATGCCCTTGCATATTAAATTTATAATGCTGTATACAGAAGGCAAGGCGATGTCGAAAGGCACACCATCACATTTTGAGAACCAAACCAAAAGTTATATAGCAGACATACCTCTAGCATTCTCCCAATATTTTTCCTTTAATGAAAATCTGAGGTGTGTGGGGAGACAGGGGAGAGACCATTTGGAATGGAAAAATTTGGGATTAAGGGAAAAAAGTTTAAACATCTCCACAGTTCCCCTCTTAAATTTTACATTCTGCTTTGGCTGTTTTTTAAAAAATTATTAAAGTACAAACACAGTGGGCAACCTTCAAATGTGTCTGCTATGCCATTCTAGCTTGGTCTTAAGATGAGATAAGAGCATCTTTTCTGAAGAGATCTTTGCCCTTTGTTCAAGAAGCAACTGGATATACTAGCTGTAGCTGTATATTACTCATTATACAGTACATACATTGTATACTATGCTGTGTTTCCTTTCATTGGTGCAAGGAAAGTCCTTTCATAGGTGAAATTTACAACAATGGGGTAACTACCAGGGCAGTTGTGGTCCTTCAGTGCTCTTTGCCAACAATGCCCATCATCCTTCACCACTGGTTATGCTGGGTAGGGCTGATGGGAGTTTTGGCCCTCCAGGTGTATACAAGTTGTTCCACAAGTTGCTCACCCCAGAGCTAGTGCTTCAGCTCATGTAAAAAGAAATAAGGAAGGGGCACATCACTGTCTACAGACAGAGCTGCAGCTCCCTGGACATGATGATTATTCTTCCTTCCTTTTGAAATAAGTGTCAAAGATCTTTATGGATGCTTTTGAGACTGGTGAGTTCTGGAATTTACCTTTTTTTTTCTGGCAGGGAGAAGGAAAGAAAGCGAAAAACAAGAATTTGTGTGTTGCTGGAAAAGTATTTGTAAATTCGTTTCTCACATCTGTAGGTTAAAAACAATAACATGTAAAAGAAATATAAAGAAGGGGGCTTTCTTTTTCCTACAAAACACTGTGTCTCAGTGTAATTTCAACTATAAATGCCATGTGAAGTATAATTCCATCCTTTTCCTACTGTATTGGAGTTTGTAAGTCAGTGGTTTAAAAGTGCTTTCCTATATATTTGCATATTAAATTATGTTCAATCATGTTTGTCTTCAAGGTGTTTGCTAGTGTTTTATTGGGGATGTTGATGTAGGTGTTCTCCTTCATATAAGCTTAGTGGTGTTGTATAATACTCGTATATTGGCTGCACTCGCATGTTATGCTAAGCCCACTTGGAGAATAAGCTGCACATGAGTGAGTTGTTCATGAAACAGTCTATGGTGCAGCTGACAGATAGTAGGGCTCACCATGACTTGTTCTCCTGCTGCTTCCCACTCTTCCAGCTGGTATCCCAGTGTCCTCCTTGGCAGAATCCATCTTGTTTCCCCCTCCCCACTGATTACTACCCCTTTTTAGTTTGCCACTGTGAGGGTTTGTTTTGTTTTTGGGGTTTTTTTTTTGGAGCATCAAAAATACAAAATTGGGGTAGTTGTCTGATACGTGTGGTCTTTGCCTGTCAATTTTCTTGTACATTTCCACTGTCAAGGGACAATGGAAACATATGGGGAAACTGACAAGGAAAGATTGCATTTAGGCTAATTATCACATTATTGCCAGGGTCCATAGAAACTGCAGCAGTAAATGCTCCAAAAATATGCTGGAAAAGTGGAGAGAGCGAGTCTCTCCCCTTTCTGGACTAGCTGGGACTCAGAGAAGTGCTGCAAATGTGGAGAACACTAAAAGTGTCAATCAAGAGAATTACACTGCTAAGTGGGAGGTCTGGTGCCATCCCGCACCTACTTTTGGCACTTGCTTTTTGGTGACTTTCAGTTGCCAACTCAGCAAATGGTGCAATTGTGCACAAATTATCCTATATACAGCACTGCCTTGTCAATTTCCGTATATGTTGCCTACTCCTCAGTGTTCTCTTAGCAGCTAAAATGTAAAATAAAATCAACAAGGCAAGATTACACATATTGGACAGCCCTGACTACACATTTGTATAACAATAATAGCAATAAATTACAAACATTTACACAATTTTTGAGCCAAAAAAAGTTGGCAAACCAATGGCAATTGCTCCAAAACGCCACCTGGGCATCAGTGAAGAGGTTGCTACTAGCAGCTGCAAAGATTAGCCTTATTTATTTATTTTTTAGCGGATTTATACGCCGCCCCATTCGCCTAATGTGGCTTACAAATAAATATCATTAATACAATAAAATACAATTGGAGACATCCTGGCCAAAGTTGTTAAAATCAATAAATAAAATCAACAATTAAAATGCCGTTTAAATAAAAAGATCTTGGCCTGGCGCCGAAAAACAAATAACGACAGAGCTTAATCAGAAAGGAGGGTTGCCATTTGCTGAGTGGCTCATTAGTCAATCCCTGCAACTTACAGTAAAATTGATCTTCTGAGTTCAGACAACATGCCATGGATTAAACAACCCCAGAACAAGCCATGGATTGTCAGGGTGCTTTGTTGCTGAAAAATGACCCACCCTGGGGTGAATATTCTAAGTTCAGGCAACCCAGCAACCATCATGGTTATGTGCCCAGGATGGGTTGTCGTCCTGTGAACCCAGTCACCATGGCCTACAACTTGAATTACCAAACAAACAGAAGGCATTTAATTCAGTATTAATTTCATATGCCTTGGTTTTATTATTCAATAGATGAACAAAGCAGGAAGAAACAGATGCTAAGACATCTATCAGTAAAGCACACAGAAATATTTGGCCAGAGTCACTCTATGCAGAAACCACTTTATTAGTTTTGTCAACTGGTATTATTCAGCTACTACATACATTCCAGATGATTGCAAACTTCATACATATTAGTTCCCTCAAGAAATATGTAAACGAAGATTTACAAATTCTGATTCAATTGGATGCATTTCAATGCATGCTGGAAAGGACAGCATGTTCAAATTCTGCAGCATACCTGAAGTATCTTTTTTTTAAGGAAACTATACAAACTAATGCACTTATTAATGGCAGATATTTTCTTATTGCCTGCTTCCCTATGTGATATTTAAAGTCCTGTAAGTTTCAACTGCCTTTGGATGCTTACCCAGGTTCCACAATATGAACTTAAACTAGAATCTTAAATTTTGTAGGACAAGTGGCAGAGTTTTCAGCATTTAATCAGGCTTGATAGTAATATATACATGGAGGTTCTTACCCTGCCTCCCCCCCCACCCAACAGGTGTACAGTTCTAGAACAGGAGCAATGATTGAGAGTAAAGTCTCCATTTTTTTCAGTAATAAGCTGAATATGATCTTCACTTGAATAATACCTGGTGTAGACAGACCAGGAAAAATGCTACATAAGGAAAACAGATCAAGACAGGAGAAAGGGGGAAGCATCACATTTATTCTCCACCAATTTGGCCAATCAGTTCCAATTTCATAATGCCCAATTAATCTAGTTTTCTAGGAAGTGGGTTTTATGTGTGCATTTCATCCTCCCACAATTCTTTGGGTCACAATGATAAAGTCATATGCAGCTAAGGAGCAATTGTGTTAAAAAGACGCGAACAGGGCAAAAAACACACTGTCACTACCAATCCTACTAGCTGTTCTTGGGCCTCCAAAGTGAACATGTAAAACACTGGTTAGGACATGAAAGGCCCACTCGGAATGCCCGTTGGCAAAGGAGACCTTTGCACATTGAGTCCGATGGGAGATGCTAGGTACATTCAGCTGAACACAGTAAAAGCAACTGCCCTTCTCTGCCTTACCTATTACCCAAATGTGTGCTCCTCTTCAAAGCTTCCTGTCCAACACAGGAAGCTTGGGGAGGAAGGCATGTCTCCGTACCCTTGATACACTTTCCATCTTCACAGGTTGCTTGCATACCCAAATAGGCTCCTGCTATTCTGACGGCCTTTTGCTCAACAATGGGGCAGAAAGCACCTCTAGCCACTATCCAAGTATCCCTATACTGTGGATGATTCCAAAAGGAATTCCCCGATATATCCTTATTTTCCATATTGGGAAGAATGGGAGCAACCATGGGGCAAAGAGGTGACAACTTTCACCATGATTGTGCATAGGAAGGAAGGGCTAATTCCACTACCCATGTGCCACTGTCACAATTAGTGGGGCACATTGGCTATTTAACAACTTAAAACGAATACACACAACACAAAACAACACGTTTAATGTCTTGCTGCAGAAGAACGCTCTTCTTACTTGATAGCACTTTCTCTGCTATAATTGTAATATCACGTTGTGTTCACTGGTCTCTGAATGTTACAGAAACAAACTTCAATTCAGACATATTTTTCATGTAAAAAATTGTCAATTCTATACAGAACAGGAGCAGCAGACCCAAAATATTTGCTCTGATCTGTAGACAACGATTGGGTTCAAACAACACATTAATCCATACTCAAGGCAGAAGTGACTTGAGCAACTGCCTGATTATACTTGGATACCTGGGCTGGGATACAGACATCTGACCTGTTCTTAAGCTGGTGATAATCAAAAGCTGCTATGCTGGGAATGCAGCAACAGGGATATTGGTGCACTAGACCAAAGCAAAAACATTGCAGTCTGACATGCAAATAAGATTCCGTCAGCAAAGGTGTGCAGAATTACAGTGAGGAACAATAGCTCTAAAGGGATCCATTTTTCACAAAGTGAGACCTCTTGACTTTTGTGGAATCTACAAATAAGTCTGCTTAGAGTACTGTAGCTTGTTTCAGGAAAAACTGCTTCAGGAAAATGTGTACAACTGTTTCCTTCTAAACGTGTGTGAACTGTCAAGTAACCTGTGAGCAAGAAAGGGACGGCAGCAATTTGTGTTTTTGCTATGTCCCTCCTGTCAACAGGTGAGTTTTTTGAGGGGCACAGAGGCACAATTCAAGCAGGTAGTTGCTACACAGAAGCTGCTGGAAAGGGTTTTGCAGGAAATACAGCCATCCAATAGTCATATTGTCCAACAGCGTCCAGTGGATCACTGTGGTTCATACAGGAAATATCTGTGATGGTGCCAGCCGTACAGTGGAACTTATCCATGCAAGCAGGAATAAGTCATGCAGTTGCTTTTGTATTTTCAAATGGCTTTTCTCCAGAAGCTTCCGGCGGAACTTTGTACCATCTGGCCTTACCTACAGCCCCTGTGTTGACGCTGCAGGAAACTGCACCTTGTGGGAAATGGATTATGCAAACATGACCTGAACAGTTTGATGGGCAGCACTATGGGAGGCAAGATATGCACAAGTGAAACTCATGTTGATCTTCATCACCAGAGTGAGGTGCTATTCCATTGCTGAAAGTTATACCATAAGCAAGGGACTAACATTGAACTTAACATTTCTTTGTGGTAAAACTTCTTTTTGGAACCCACATGCATCTGGTACATTTTCCCTCGCAACTGTATTAACAAAAAACTGAAGATAAATTATCCCTGGGACTTCTTTGATTTGAAAGGCAATAGTGAGAACTGTATGGACTCGGCCCACTCAGTGTTTTAAGATTTGTTGCCCAAACGAATTAAAACATTCTCCATTACATTAGCCAGCATGCATACAGTAATTGAACCAGTCAGTGGATGTTCTCTTTCAATGACATACACAGGACGACACATGATGAAAAGAACAAAGCAAAACAGAATGGAGTGTATTAACTGGATACGACTACAGAGGATTATCTTTAGAGAGATGGCAATGTCCTCCAAAATTCAGCAATATGGCAGGATAATTTTTCAAGACCTGAAGATCTTTATGGTCTTCTTATGCCCAGGCTAACAGTATCTATGGTCACTGAAATGAGAAAAGGTAAAAGCCTTAGTATTCACCAACACAATCACCAACTCAAATCTAAATGTAGACGGAATATACCAACGTGGGAATATACAAACCCTTTCAGAGATTCAGCAAAATAATCATAACCCATAATAGACTGAGTTCTTACTTTCATCTGCACTCAAAGAGCACTTTGCCCTTGAAGCAGCTGCAGATTTAGGGGTATGTTAACAACGGAATCCAATTGAACATGTCAGCTGATCTACACTTCTATAAAAATAGTGATCAATGCAAAGATAAAACAATGAAATGAGAATATAAGAAATACTCACTTCACTTAAAGAACTTAATTTCTGTATCAACACAGTCATAGAAAAGGTCCTCCACTTCAGAAGGATCGAGAACTTTTGAGCTGCTAATGATGCTCTCCATGGCTTCCAAGCCTTGTTTTTCAAGGTCTAACATGGTTCTTCTCAGTTTCTCACCTTTTTCCTAAGAGAAGAAATGACCAACATGAAACGTCTGTTGAAATGACATAATCACATGAAAACGTGCGTGGGCACCCATACGTTTTCTGATGCAATACCAAGCTATCTATATCATCTATATGCATATCTATTAATGTGACACCTTCAGAATAATACATCTATTGTGGGGCAGAGTACACCATGACACCTAAGGAGCAGTCATCAAAACTTGAAAGTTGCACAACTACTGAGCAGAGAAGGAGAAAGGAAACAAAACAGAGTAGTATTCCAACAGCCAATCTATGCAAGAATCTGTATGAAATTCATTTCACAGTGCAAGGCACAGACAAATACAACATTACAATATTATAATACATATCATCCTGATTTTAAAGGGTTATTCAAAGTTATCTTTTCCTCAACCCACTCAGTGCTTCCTTTAAATGAAGGACACAGCACAAGTCTTACCGCATCGCTCTCCATGACATGCCGGGCCCACTCATGTGCCTTGTAGAGCTCATGCCTACGGTCCGGTTTGTCCTGGAATTGGGGAATTTTTTTCACAGGATCATCACTACCAAAAATGGGTGACTGAACTTTTGGTACTAATTTCACTTCATCAACAAAGATAAAAGGTTTAAATATGGACCTGGAAAAGATCAGATGCAGCACCAATGAGTAATGACAGTTATAGTTAGTCTGTACTGATCACCTAGTAGTTTGTTGTGCTTATTTAAAACAAAAACAAACATCCCTCCAAACTTGGATGTATAAGTTCTTTAAAATATTTGAGTCATAAGAAGCAGAAGCATTCACTGAAATAGAAGGACATAAGCCTTAAGAAAGACTGCATTTGCTTTTTAAAATCTATGGTATATTAAATCCTTCTTAATGTTCAAGTTTTAGGTCTTCTCTTTCTTTTGTCAAAGACTGAGCCATTATACTTGTGCTATTTTACCACTCCATTCTATTTAACTAATAGAGGGCACCATGAAAAGTATATCAGGAAAGAAACTGAATTTTAATCATGCAGCATTCTACATGGGCTTCAGCTGAAATAGATACATGATCGTTTAGCAATACTTAAAAGGCTAAACTTTTCTGGGGAGTAATCTGTACATATGCTCATATTAAAGTATTTTCTGCCTCTTTTACTCTGGGTCTTGTGTGATATGTTAGATGAGAAGTGAAACACATTTTCAGTGAATTAGCATTTAGCATTGGGAATTCGTTTACATTTTCTTTTAAAGTGCTTAAGATAGACTTTGTACATTTGTAATGCAAACTTCTTTAGCTTTTCCAACTTTTTCTATACACACAAAATGCAGTGTAATAAAAAGACCAGAACACTGATGGTTGTCTACTTATCTGCCTTGCTTTAATCGTTATGCTAAGAAGTGTTCAAGAACAACATACAATTTTTTTCAAGTAGTAAAACACACACACACTTCTCTCTAAATTAATTTTACTGTTTTCTGCTGAGCCTTTTTTCTTTTTGATACCTTTTATTTATAGAAAAGATATTTAAAGGGCTTGCTTTTAGTCAGAATTCTTGTTCCATTATCATAGCCACTATTCTGAACAAGTAATAACGCCACAATGAGGATGATTAAAGGATAAAACCTACTGTATGGCATGCTAATGAAGAACTATTGATCTTTTCACCAGGATTTGCAAAATGGCTGCTATTTTCCCAAATACTTTAAGGAGTTTATTGGGATTATCATCAACTGCAATCTGTAGAAGAGCTGTAAACCCTTGCCCTGAAAATGACAAGAATGATCCAAACAATTGTATTGACAAAAAGACAAACACTGCTTAGGAAATATTGAACCAGAGGTGACTAAGCTTACATTCACGCACAAAGGTACGATCTTATGCATATTGAAAAAGAAAATGGTTCTACAGCTCCCAGGACACTCTGGCCAGATGAGAATTGTAAGACTTTTTTCTGTTTAAACATGCATGGGGTTGTACTCTAAATAGCCTTCAGTGAAGCAGGGATGTTAGCAAGAAAAAGAAAGGGGGAAAAAAACCACACAGAAAAAGCCATAGCAAGTTCCCATTCCCTTGAGAGAAACTTGTTAACTTACTCAAGGTATAAATGTGCCAGTAAAAGCCTCTTTCCTCTACCTTCTGCTAATGGTGATCATATTCAAACTTAAAGCACTAGTAATTGTATAGGTTATTTGCCAACACTATAATGCAGAAGCAGAGGAAAAAGGCAAGTACAAGGAAGCATAAATGAGGTGCACAAAATTATGCATGGTGTGGAGAGCACCCAGGGTTACCCCATGAAGCTGATCGGCAGGAGATTCAGGGCAGATAAAAGGTAGCAGTTCTCCATACAACACATAGTTAAACTATGGAATTTGCTACCACAAGATGGCCTCCTTTGGGAAAGCATTAGACAAATTTGTGGACGAGGCAACTATGAATGGCTACTAGCTATGAGGGCTATCATTGCCTCCTGTATCAGAGTATGCCTATGTACAATAGTTGCTGAGGAATGCAAGCAGAGGGTGCTACAGCGTTCATGTCTGGCTTGTAGGTTTCCAACAGACACCTCTCTGGCCACTGAACAGAATATTGCACCAGATGGACCCTTGGCCAGATCCAGCAGGAAGTAAAGTTTTTTCAAAGTGAAGCCTCATTTCAAGGTTTCTGATCAGGAAGAGGGAAGGGTTTGGCAGAGAAGAGAGCTCAATGAATCATCTGGCATACAGCTTACAGCATATGATTAGCGTGGTATGAATAAATATTGATGTGCTTAAAACAGAAGACATCCCCTGGAGAGTGAGAAGCAACCTCAGTGCAGCAGAATCTACAGCTGGCACTCCTGCTGAGTCAACCTGGCTTTCAGTTAGTCAAGCAACTAGACACCAACATGCTAATATGGTTGCAATACTGAAATTAAAGCAGGTACTGCCTACCGTCAGAGCAGTTAACAAGCACAGGCACCTATCCTTCAGACTTGCCTATCTTATCTAAACTTGAGACACCAATAGTATTGTAAAAATGCAGCCAGGCAAACAAGAAATCCTTTGAATGTTCCCTTGCTTTGGTTCACGTTGCACCAGTCAATTCAACTTAATGGAGACATTTCTTGGGAGAAAAAAACTTAAGGGCAGGATGGCAAGCATTCTCATATACCTTGATGGATCCGGGGTGCCTGTGAAATAATGGATGCATGGGGAACTAAGGTTTTCAGGTAATACAGACACCATGCTCGCTGTCGTAAGAAATGACTCTGAATCCACACATATACCACCAGCCTTATCACGCAGGATGTCAATCATGGTTTGCACAGTGATGTTCCCTGAAAAAACATCAGAGGCAGAGAACATTAACAGGGCATGATCCTTAAGGAAGCAGTAACTGAGAAACGAGATCATAACTAGTGTGGAGCCAAAATGTATTTATATTGTATGTATTTTATTGTATGTATTTTATAAATGTATTTATATTGTATGTATTTTATTTTAATGTTTTATATTTTTAATTATAATTATTTAACTACTTGTTGTAAGCCGTCCCGAGGCTTCGGCGAATGGGGCAGCATAAAAATGTTTTAATAAATAAATAAATAATAAAATAAAATAGAAGAACACCATTTTCTACCTCAACTGCCACTTTAAAGAAGAAGTTGCGCAGAGCAAGAAGATCTATGCCCCCACCCCCAATTAAGCAGATAAAAGGGACTGTGTTCTGCATGTATTTGCACGGTTTCCTCATTTTTGAAGTAGCTACAGCAACTATTCAAAGGGCACTTGCACCAAAATGCCCAGCAGGATCTTCCTCCCCTCTCAGCAAGTGCTCTGCCATAAGGGAAGGAGAGAATTGCAGTTCAGAACCAAAGGCTGTTTCTCTCACTAGCTTTTGAGAAAATGTCTCCATGCCTTTCCAGATGTTACACTTCACTAGTAAAACAAATCCCAGGAAAAAATAAAATATTTTTATTTATTTTAAATTGCAACCTTCATCCACCAGATCATGTGCCCTAAAAATCATTAAAACTTATCATAAAGCCAAAAAGCACAGAGTGAAAGCATGCAGTACAACAAGATTTGAGAAAAGCATTAAAATGGAAGCACACCAATACCTTATACCAAATAAGAGCATTTATGTCAAACTTGGCACTGTCTGTAGTTTTCAAATACTTTTAAAGGGCAGCTGCCTGTAGAGCACTTATGGTAATCTGAATGAGAAGTGATTAAGGCACGAATCACTGTGACTAGATCTTCCTTCCTCACAGCTGGCAAAGCAAACGAAGCTGCCATCAGTGCCATCAGACCATTTGGGAGTAGTGCTGGATGCAGTATTATTCTCACCCCAAGCAGCATGCTTGATCTTTCAAAGAGACTGCTGCCCCATCCAGAACAGATTGTGCCCCTACTCCCACTTTAGGTTGTCCACTGCTCAGCTGGACTGCCATCTTGCCTGGCTTAAGCCGGAGCTTGTTCGCTCACAACCAGTCTCTCTGTTTATGGTTTAGGACTTCCATAGTCTCTTTAGTTGGAAAGGACCAAAGAGTATCCTCTGTTTATTGAGGCCCTGCCTCAACTCTGAATGACCTGGCCAGTGGTTGCATGTGGATGTGAAAGGAGAAAGCAAAGCCCTGAGGGGCTCAATATACCCATGGGGACCTATGAGTAATAGCCTCTTAGTACCACCTTCTAGGAACATTCAGTGAAATAGATTAGGAATCACAGCAAATCTAAATTCTCTACTTACCTTCTTGCTTTTCTAGGATTTCATTCCCTAAACAACCATCTGGATGATTCTCAGCTTGAGAAAATACTTGAGCAAAGTTGAACTCTGCATCTGTGGTCCACCATCCTTGACTTTCTGCGTAACCTCTAAGCTCAGGATGCTCAGCATCAATTTTTGTCATTAAGCAAAGCTGGTTGCAAATACACTTCACTCCCTCTATAAGAGAAGTCATACAACAAAAGAGAGTTTTAAGAAAACAGTAGAAGACCCATGTCTTCCATTGGACAATTGAAAACTCTAGCTAGATCCATTTTGCCTCCAGCAATGTCAGATGAACTAGGCATGCAGATGAAATTACAGATCAGCACAAGACTTAATCCACTGAACTGTGCAAAGCAGTGTTGGATTCCAAGCAGCATACTCAGAATCACTATTTTCAAGGTGTAATATTCTGCAGTTTGTTTGAAAATTACTTGCATCAGGCACCATTGTACTAGAATGTCTCACAAAGATATCCTAATGAAGAGGGCAGAAGGAGAAGAGAAGTAATCCCTTCTAATACTTCTATGCCGTAAGTAACTCCTATCCATCCCTCACCTCAGCATCTCTGTGAACCAACACAATGGCCCAGTCGGCACATGAATGCTAGCCCAAGATTTAGTTTTACATGCATAAGAAGGAATGTGCCTTTATGAAGTACCAAGCCAGAGCACTTCCCACTCAGTCAGAAGGAAGAGGCAAAAAACACAAATTGGAGTCTCATTGCCTCGTCCCTTCCTGTGAACCAAGACTTATGGTTCAAAGGAAACTTTAGTCCATTTTGAAACAAATGAACCTCAAACTCTGGATTGTTTGTTAGGTTTATGTAGCATTAATTGTTGTTTGCTTGTAATTTCTTTTTAAAATCACAGTTCCAGATTTGCACATGAAGATGAACAATCAGGAAAAACTAGAGCCATGGCTTTAAGGCATAGATGCACAAATACAGTGATAAGTTTGTGTGTGCATCTGTGTGTGTGCGCATACTCGTGTATGTATGAAATAACCATGCATGTGGAAGAGAGTCACTAGATACGAATGGATAATTCTGGCACATGATCACTGCATGAATGAGGAAATAAATGCTCCACATGCAAAACTAAGCATTTATTGAGCAATAAAGCATTCTGGATCATGACCCCAAACTCAACCACCCAGCATAACAGTAGTATTCAGAAATTGCTCCAATAAGCAAGAAGAGAGGGGAATAGTTTTACAAATAACAAATCAATAAAATTGGAAGGTTCTAGATCCTATCTCTTTACATATACACTACCCAGTACCTAAGATAATTTTTGAGGCTTTCCTCCAGGAGCTCCTGTTGAATCAGGTAAGGTGGGTGACTGCTAGAGAAAGAGCCTTTTCCATAGTTGCACCAAAGTTGCAGAAAGTGTTCCTCAGAAATGATCTTCTGGTGCCTATTCTGTGCTCTTTTCAGTGCCTCTTTATTCCCATAGATGTTTTAGTTTCTGAGTTTTAAAAATGTGGCAGTGCTTTCAAGGTTCTTACACCAATGTTCTCCTGTGCAGCTAGTTTTGCGGTTGTTTAATCTGTTTGACATCTGATGCCTGTTTTATTCCTTATCTTTATTATTTTAACCTCTGCTTCTAAACCACACAAGAACTTCAATTACAGGGTCATTCCAAAGTATACTAATAAGCAAAATCTAAAAATCCTTGAGTAATTCTCAAGGAAAAGTATGTGCATTTCTTAGCAGCGGCTTTGATAAAAATGGAAACAAACCTGTAATTTTTTCTGCAGCCCAGTATTTTCCGACAGTCTCCAGTACCCATGCTTCTTTTCTGTCTACTATCAGATAAGCACTCTGGAAAGAATGGCACGCATTCCCATCTTCATAATAATTTCCACCTTGGCCATGCTCTTCTAACAGAGAGACAATTACATCCAAGGCTTCTTTAGCTGTTGCACCCCTTTCTAGACCAAGCCTGGAAACAGAACCACAAAAAGTGGGGAAAAGAACACAATCCTGTGTAGATTTAGACAGAAAAAAGGTCTGCAACTTCCAGTCTGCCCACAAAACCAATCAAAGGTAGGATGTGAAGAATATGAAAGGGAATAAGGATGAAAAAGAGAAGATGGTAAATCTTTAAGTGAAAGGCTGATTCTATGGAAAATAAGAAAAGTCATGGATCCCCTGACAGTGTGAATAGAAGCTGCTTCTCCCACCCACCCCCCCTTAGGATCAGGACCATGCACGGGGATGCATTTGAGAAATAACACTTTAGCTGTGTGTGTGTGTGTGCGCGCGCGTGCGTGCGCTTTCTGTGTGTGAGAAAGAAGCAACAAAATGCTTTACTTCACTCCAAAATTTTAAGTTTTGTACAGAAATGAAGTAAAGCCTGACACTCTGAAATGCACAGATCGAGACTCAGCGCAAGCCCTGACTCAGGAACCTTGGCTATCCACATGTAAGGAGCCCTTTCAACCTTATTCTTCTCAACCACCCAGAGAGCTTTAGCTATTAAACAACACAGAAATGTAATAAACAAAGAAACAACACCACACTGAAAGCTGCATGACTGGATATGGTTGTGCTGCATTCGACCTTGAGTACTTTGTTGTGATACTGGTGAGTAGGGCAGTGATTTCCTCAATGGTTTCTTCTTCCAAAAGCTCGCCTTGGCCAGTCTCCCCTTAATGGTATTATCATTAGCTTATTCAACAAAGATCAAAGGGTTAGTCAGATTAGTATATTTCATATGTCCCTAATGTTGTTTAATAGTAGCCTGCAGTTATCATTGATAAAAAGGGAATACAGCCCACAACTGAATCTTGCTGGGGTGTTTGGATGTAAGCTGATTTTCTCCCATTTAAGACTGTGCTTGTGTCCTGATAGATCTTTGTTTGAAAAGCAAAATCAATTTGGGGATAATGAACATGGAAAATGTGCAATCGTTACTAAAGCTGCCAAATAAGCAATGATTCCATTACTGAATTTTGCTTTGACAGGAGACCGGGAAAGAGACACTTAATCTAGTTATAACATTATTAAATACAGTTTGGATCTTTCACTTTCCAGCTATTCCAAATTAATACAATTGTACTGTCCCACATGATGAATCACCACTTGCAGTAACAGTTGTGAAACCTACTTGTGTGTAATACTTGGACACTGTTTCTATTCTCCAAGTGAGAAAACTAAGCGAGAGAGATAATACACTTGTTCAAACATTTTCTTCAACAAGTTGAGGAGTGCAGTGCAGGAAAGCTACCACTGTCGAAAATCTCATTTGCACCTGTGTTAGAAACTGATTCAGTGCCTTTCTTTTTTCAGTTTTTGTTTCTTAGCATGATGATTTTCTCAAAATAGCTCCACTGTACTATAGAAAGAGGATTGGCCAAAGTAACCATATCAAACTGGCACAGAATAACATGATTTTTTAGTGTTTATTTTACCATCATGCGGATTTTAGGCAAATGGTTTTCATGGGAATGCATGAACCAGAGTAGGTCAGCAAATTAATTATTCCAAGCATACAAATCAGAGTTCCAAGGCACAGCAGGATGTTTTGCAAAATGAGGGATAAAAAAGGAACCCACAGGCTGTGCAGATTTACAAAGTAGCTGCTGCTCTTTAAAAGCACATTAGACTGCTTTCTTGCTTATCATGTCTGGTCATTCAGCAAATGAATGCTAAAGAGCACCTGATTATTACTCTCAGGAAAAGGCTCATTTGTAGCAAAATATTTGATAGCTTTAAGAGAAATTAGAGCAAATAACACATTCACAACTCGTAAGGCAATGTTTAGAATGAATAGTTGGCATGGCATGTGCCACAGGGAACCCTCCACGCAGCAAGTCTGTGCAGAATTCTCAAGCTCTCAGTGTGCTTGCGAATTCCGCATCCTAAAAAAATGTCCAGCACTCATATAAGTACAAGACTATAATTTATTGAAGAGGGTTGGAAATAGCCTACTGACTAATGACTGATCCATAATGTGGTAATCAAAATCACCTACCTGACAAGATCCATTCCTAGAAGAGCTTCTGTTTCAGAGGCGGGCTCTTTGGTGACAATGGCTTCATTTGCAACGAAGACTCCATGCTCATTGGCCCCCATTTCTGCTCCCCATAGCCAGGAAGGTCTGCTCAGTGCTATAGCATGTGTCTTGGATGCCTGGTCGATCTCAATATATGTGCACTACACAAGAAGGGAAAATCAGATGGCATTGCTCCAGAAACAGGAAGCACTGTCCTGCATACATGTTGCCTTGGGGCTATTCTACCTGCCCTAGGTAAGTAGGCAAGTGGCAAAGTTCATTGTTCTCACAGGTCACATCTACTCAACCCAGATGTGCATGAGCAGAGATGAACTGCAGCAACAGCTGGCTTTGTGCACCCCTGTCCTTCTCCTGTGAAGCTGACAGCAAATTTGAAAGATTTTATTTTTAGTTTAGTTAGCAATGGCCACCCTGGGGCCTGGGGTGCCTGGGGCAATTGCCTGGGGCGACAGATTATATTTGTTAATTTTATGATCAGATTCATCAAGAAACCAGGATTTCTGACACTGGAGTGGCAGAGTAAACTATAGTTAAAGTTTACCAGATCTGGATGACCTGGTAAGCAGTGACTGATGAAGAGCAGAAGCTTCTGAAGTCCTTCTCCTGCCCACAAGGGATGAGGAAGGAATACTTGGGCCTAAGGCTCATTGCAACTTCTGCACATCAGGCTAAACCTCAGCTCCAAGGTCTCTTTCCAGCCCAAGAAGTTATGTTAGCCTAGTTGTGAATCTGTCCATGATCAGAAAGGATACCAGTCTTCTCACAAGCACCAAGAATAGGCAAGTATTCTTTAAGTACTTTTAAAAAATTAAACATAAGACATTCCAGCAGACATCTACATAAACTGGTATCATTGGTAGAAGAGAAATAACTGATTCCCAGTAGTAGTAAATGAAGTCAATTTGATTTTATAATGTGACCTTTTAGTAAATATAGGGCTAAGGATAAACAAGTGCTTTTAGCTTTAACAAACCCTGTTCAAAATATGTTAATAAGACTTTATAAGGGAAATGGAAAAGCAAGTATATGTGTCCCTCTCTTTTTGTAAAATCTGGGACAAACTTTCATCAGAAAGCAGAGCATAGTACTTTTTTCATTAAGGCCTTTGTTGTCCAAATCACAGTCTGCCTCAATTGATGTCAGACTGGCAGTGCTAGGAGTCAAAAGTACAGTAGAAATGGGACAATCAGTGCTCTTCATTATAAAACAAAAAGGAATTGACTTGGACTTATGTCTCATTGGTAATAGAAAGACTCTGACATATTTGTGACCTGAAATTCATATTGCTTTAAAAAGAATAAACTTTATTTGTTTTGTGGTTAAAAGATAAAGTTAATGTTGTTCAGCCTTCCTTTATGAACTTAAAATGCTCATTTTTGATTTCTGTTTCTCACTGCTTATCATTTTAATCTTAGCTGCCTGGCACCAACGCTTTCAGATTTATTTGGAAATCCTCTAACACATCACTTTAATGCAGGGTTGATAGTATTTTGCCCTATGTCAGTCTGAGATAAATCAGTAGCTTTAGAGCAGTCTTTCAAGCTGCTGCTTTCCACATGTGGGCTGCAACTCCAATCATTCCCAGCCCACATAATGGGAGGTGTAGCCCAGAACAACTCAAGAGCACCAGACTGGAAAAGATTGCCTTAGGGAGATGCAAAAGGTGCTTCCTCCCCACTCTGCTCTCTTCCCACATGTCTGATGATCAATTATGATAAATGACCATTCCTGTTCCATTAACTGACGCAGGTTCTGTGCAACCCACTATATAACACACACTATTCCTCCAGTCACTTCTTCCCATATATAGCTGCTCAGTGCAAAATTAAGCAAGATCACGTGGTTTGCTCTACTAGAAACCTCTGTCCCTTTTGTACCAAATCGCACGAATCCTGAGTATTAAGGATTATTATCTTACATTCTCACCAGTGACATTTCCTTCACAGCCTATTTTTCTTATATTGTTTTCCATTTCTGACTAATTCACAGCTCATATCTCTATCATAATGCATGAGGTGCCATTTAGCTCTAGTATTTTCGATGCATTACAAATGAGAAGAAATTTAGCACAGTTTGTGCATAACATCAGAGTAACTTCCAGTGTCCTGTTTTACCACCCAGTTCAAAGGGCTATTTCCCTGGTAACCCATCAGCTGCAATACAGTTGGAGGTGTTCACGCTACCAGAATGAGGTTGAAGGCAAGCCTGAAATCATTATTATAGTATGTCGTAAGTGCTCAGAAATCAAACATAAAATGACTCCATATACCAGTATAGTCACTTGCCCCCTAAGGAAAATCCTTTTAACCCTGTGCAAATCCCACTTTGTAAAATGACAGCTGTCATTTTGGTAGCTGTCACATTTAACTACTTCAGTAAATGGAGTGGCTTGTACTTTTGCATGTTCCCAAGGTCACAGAACCTTGAGAAATGAGTGCAGAAATTGTGGCAACTTTGGGACACATGAATTCCCAGCATAAAAACTCAGGATCTTGCAATGAACAAGATAAATGAGCCCCCACCCCCTTTTAGTGAGTTAAAATCATTCATAACTTTGCTTACATATGACGTCTCACCTTTTGACAGCTTTCAGATGCAACTAAAGTGAAAAATAAATTCACTTGCAGCTTCTGTGGGGCAATGCCCAAAGTGGGTATCAGCTAGACTTTGCCAGTGGGCCTCATCCTGCACTCTGCCCACCCAAAGCCCCCATTTCTGCACCGGCACAACTGCAAATGTTCACAGTTGACTGGGAGGGGGGGCAATTTAAACTTTTTTTCCCCAGATATTTGCAAACATTACTGGGAACATTGGGTGGCCCCTACAAGATGCCACTGGGGCACTTTGAAGGACTCTCCATACTTGTCAAAACAGGGATTGCCAAAGCCAAGATAGCTAGCCTTCACAATCTCCAGGGAAAAAAATGTTTATGGGGGGGGGGGAACTGTGATAAGTCTTAAACAGCTTACAAACACAGCAGGGAAGGGAAGGCAACTTAGTTCTCCCGCAGTGTCCCCTAGGAACCCCAACGGAGGACAGAGGGAGGATGGGAAGGAGGGAGCCAAAAACATACAGTGAGCCTGACGCTTTCTACAGCTCATTGCCAAGCTGGGCGAGTATAATGCATGGGGCAACCAGTAAAGTGGAGGTAAAGCGGAGATATACATGCCATTTAATTTCACTTTCCAAGGCCATAGTCTTCTGACAGCAGTTGGAGAATGGTCTTCTCAGAGTTGCTGTCTGGTTCATGCCTTTAGACAGCTGTTCCCAGAGCATCCGTGTGGAAATGCTCTGCATGCATGCTCTTTGCAATGGATGGAAAAGAAAAAGACCTTTGGATTGTTGCCACAGGATAAGGGTTTGGGAGGTAGGGCTCAGTACCTGACAGAAGGCAGAGAAGGAGGTGAGCTTTGGATTCCTGCCAGTGACAAGAGGCTTTTTAGTGGCAGTTTTTTGGTGGTGGTAGCTATGAGTCTTGGGGACCATGCAGCCCTGCTTCTGCCGCATTGGGCCGGAGTGGAGGCAGGAACATGCAATTAGATTGATGAAAAATCTAAGAGGTGTAAAAGATCTGGGTATATGCAGTTCTCAAATGTTGTATTCCTACATTTTTATTTCATTACAATATAAATGCTATGGAATTAATGCATAAGAAAATCTACACTAAGAAGGTAATTTTTTTTTTATTGAAAAAGCATGTAATTAGGTGTATCAGGGCACTGCAACCAGGTGAATTCTCACAAGGTATTATGCATCCATAGCGTGAAGCCCCACAAATTAAGTATGAATTAAGCTGTTTTGTTTACCTCAACTTTGCATCCTGGATCATGAGTAGCTGCAGCAAAGTAAACTACCTCCTGTACCTCCTCCGGAGGCCTTGCAGAATTCTTTCCAACTATTACAAAGCCATCTTTAGTATGTGGTGGAAATGCAACAAAACAGTAACTGGGAGGTGGAAGCGCCATTCTGAAAATGTTAACAAAAAGAGATATTAGAAATACAGGAAGTAGTTTAATACCAGGTCAGACACTGCACACTGGATCTTTGACGTGTGTGCTATGGTACAATGAGCTATGATCCCTGCACAAATATGAGCAACCAATGAAACATGTATTGTAGAATATTTGAAATATAAAACTAACTAGCTTGACAAAACAATGCTTTCCTCATCAATATGATTTTCAATGTGCCAACTAAATAATGTATTTGCAATAAAAGGTTACTCAGAGCAGACCTCCTGATAGCTCAATAAACCAAGTACTTTAAGTATAGAAGAAAAAAGAAAGAACCAGCAGAAAAGAAAGAAAATATTGAGATCTGCTTTAAAAATTAAAACAGCTGGCCTCCACCAAACAACTATGCCAGTACAGCTAATCATACACAATGTACAATGAATGTCCTAACTCAGAATATTTTAGCAGGAAGATGGGTAAGAATTTTGAATACCACAAGCACAATTTTTATTTCATTGCCTATTCCAGTTTACCAACCTGATAAAAGTTTAATTCAGAAAAATAACCATCCAACGTCAATCCCACCAATGAATTGACTGTGGTAGCTTAATGGATCGCCATGCCAGAGTATGCTGTGCTTATTCTTTTATAGTCTCAAATCTCCTGACAGAGAATTCTCTTGAAGATTGAGAAAGTACTTGGCACAATGCATGTTATTAGCAGCCTATCATCATTATACCCTGAGACTGATTATTTGGCTCATTGTAAGACAAGACAGGAATCACACACACACACACACACACACACACACAGTGTGTGCATGTGGCCATCAGATGGCAACCCAGAATCATAAACTATGGTCTGAAGTGGGCTGCAAGCCTCAGTCTGGTCTAAAGTCTGAACTGACATACCCATTATTTATCAGTCTTCAAACCAAGGCCTCCCAATACAGTTCATATGAATGTAATGCCATATAAAATCAGTAAAACAAAACTGTAGAAACTAAGCAACAAACAAACAAAAGTTCAATAAAAGTTGAACATATTGAAAGACCTGCACAAATAAAAACATCTGCACTAGAGTTGAAAAGATATCAAACTCTTTGGAGTGCTACAACAAAAGAGACCCTGCCTTGTCTTAGTAGGGTTGAGGAAGGGACCCCAAAGATACCCCCCAGTGTCGATCTCAATATGTGGTCAGGTTCATGGGGAAGGAGGATTGAATGCATAGAAATGGGCCATGCTCTGCCTTAGGTCGGCATTAACCATAGATGTCCAACTAATAAACAGAAGGGAAACTAAAGCAGGCATGGATGGCAAGAGGCAGAGCTCGAAGACGTTTCAGATTTCTACTCCCAGAAACCCTTTCCAATGTAGCCTATGCTCAGGCATGCTGGGAGTTGATGTCTAAAACATCTGGCACTCTACTTCATGCCCACCCCTGCTTTCAGTCATGATTCGCCTATAAATTTCATATGTCATAGGGCCCTGTCTAAAATTAATGAAAACAATTATTTGGCCTGATACTGTAATGAGCCTTTGAAAGGCATCTTGGCTACCATGTTGCCTCACCTCACAAGGCATTTTTGAATAACTTCCTACATCACTAATCATGCACATTTAGCTTTCAGTAACGTATAAAAAAACAACATCCTCATGAACGACATCCTTGTCCTAGGATGTCATGTTATTTAATAGACCTAAGCTTAGAACTGGAGCTACACAGAGCCACCAAGCAAGGTTCCTAACCCCTGATTCATATCAAGCATAATGGTCCTGCTTCTTCCCCTAAGGAGGGAGCCTGGAAGTTGACCATTCAGACTCGGTCATTCATTCTCTGCCTCATGATTGTAACATCACAAAAGGCCCATTTCTTCACTAATAAACTGTTCTTTCTATACAACAGGATAAGCTGTTTTTATAAGCAGGACGTGTATGTTGCTAGCACTTCTTAGCCTGCATCTCCAAAAGCATAAATTCATTAAATGAGGACTGTCATAATTCAGCCTTATTGGTTTGTTGTTTTTTTACAAATGCATTATTCATGCACTGTGAATTAGTTCCAAGACAAAATTGCAGCAGGTTGGTTTGATGTAGATCTTATCAGACAAGACAATGGTCAAAAAGCAATCTCAAATTCCCTTATGACTACTGAAGTGACATCTTGTGAGTAATTTTTCACTGTCAAGTGCTGCTTGATGAAAATTAGTCTCAGGGGAATTTGACTGTATAGTGCTAATTTTGCCTCTGTTTGTTTAGCTAATGCCTTTCTGGTTACTATGCCAATGTGCTTAATATAGGCTGGTGCGCTGAAAAGCAAACAGCTTTGATTAGCATACAAATGCATTACTTTCTAGTAACATTTCAATCTGAAGAACCCAAAATGGTTTATATATGATAGAAAATCGCTATTAAGAGTTTGTCTATACAGCCTTTGGGAATGGAGTGGGGGGGGGGGGTGTTATCCATAGCAGGACACTGTGGTGGTATTGTGGGAACGGAAGAAGAAAGTTTCTTTCGACTGGTAAACTGCCATCTGCAATGCAAAGTTGTGCACAATGGCACCGAGAAAACAGGTGTGCGGTGGAAGGGGTGGAACAGCTCCCAGTGCTACCCCATGTTGCTTTGCCAGTTATTGCCATTTATATACTTTTATCTTTTAATCATACCAGCTGTCTCATTCTCAATTATAAAAATGTCTGCATTTGAATGCACAGACTATGCTTTCCTCAAACCCAGTGCAAGGCTGGTGAAATTAGCTGACATTTTTAGACTGAAAATAGGTCAATACTGTGTAATGACTTGCACTGAAACAATAGAATAGCCAGCAGTGGTGGGGGTGGGTAAGGGAGGAGGGCTGCCTACCAATTGCCTTTTGTTTCAGATGGCTGGAGCCATTCGCTTCTGGTGCAAATGCAGTCACTAGGAAACAGCCTAGAGAAAGGCTAAACAAGTGTGGGAAAAACCATGCTTGCTTTTCAGTTTGAAGGATTGCTTACTGAGCTGAATGAGAGGGTGGTCTTCGTTGCTCTTTCACTTGCCTTTCTGACTTCACGCCTTGAAGTCCTCATTCCATGAAATAACCCAAGATTCCCCTTATTATACTGCTTATATTTTGGGAATCTTTCAGGCCTAACAGTTCGACAAAGTGGGCCTATTTGCTGAAGACTGAAGGAGGGGAGGGTTGTATGGTTTTGTATATGCAGAAGCATTTTTCTGATCAAATTTTTGAGTTGAAATTAGCTTCTCTTTGCAGGAAACTGTTTGTTTAAGAGACCTATTAAGGTACAGAAATAGACAGGCAGAAGCATTTTTGCTGCAAGGAAGGTATGCATGACAAAACAATACATCCCAGATAGCTCAGCTACTTCTTTCAATGCTCTTCAGGCAAAATGTGGGTATAAATAATAAAACTGGGTTACACTTTCTTTCTTAAATATGAATATTTAAGTTGACTGAATTTCTAGTATATTTATGGCTCCTGCAGGCACAGTGTTCTAAAACCAGTTCAGAATTCTTGCAATTGCTTAGTTTATCCCAACATATACTTACCCTAAATAGGTCCCTATTTAGCTGAGTCTGCTGCATACACAGCTCCAGTTTCACAGAAGGATGAGCAGATGCACAGGATCCTTATATCTTTAGTAACTGTACAGAATAGATTTCACTGGTGTGCCTTGTCATACAGGAGTAAACAACACCCCATCCACAGAAAGCCCTTCTACAAAACTGTTACAGGTTCAGAAGCCCTTTCTCACTTTGCTCTTGGTCACACTGTCCCTGACCAACCATCCCCAAGGGAAACCCAATAAAGCTAAGAAGAACATCCTTATAGGTGCACACAGTCACAAATAAGACCACAAAGAGCAGTGCTGAATCAGACCAGAAGCTTGTCCTGTGCAGCACTGTTTGCCCAGTGGCAACCTGGATGTCCATAGGAAGCCAGTAAGTTGGCCATGAGAACAACAGCACATATCATTGCTCTCCTGTTCCCCTGCCATTACTGGTATGCATTTATTTATTTATTTATTTAAAACATTTGTGCCGCAGCACCTCTGGGTGGCTCACAACCATAAGATAAAAGCACAATAAAAGCACAATAAGAACCAGTAGCACATTGAAAATAAAATAACAATAAAATAAAAGCAAAAAATACAAAACAAAGGTCTTATGGCATTACTTATTAAAATATTTTTTTAAAGGAAGGTCTTCGCCTTGCACCGAAAAGAAGGTAAGGAAGGTGCCGGGTGAATCTCCTTGGGGTGAGCATTCCAAATATGGGGAGCAGCTGCCAGCCCTCTCACCTCCATAAGAGCTGGTCCCCTGTATAGACAGGCCAGGTACTTATTTAAAACATTTCTATGCTGCCCCCATCACAACAAAGCCTCAGGGCGGCTCACAAAAAATACACCCCATAGGCACATACAGCTGCAAGCGCTCCCTAAGATATCCAGGGCCTAAGCTGCTTAGGGGTTTAAATAGGAGGACAGAGCCTTATCCTCCACCCTAACCCTTTAAAGCCATATATATTGGTGGACTTCATCTTAGACTAGAAAAGCCCAGAATAGGTCTTAGTTTAGCAATTGCTTCTACTCAACATACCTTTTTTAACTTTCACAGAAGTTAAATGCACCTGATAAGGTGCTCTATAAAGTAAGATGTATTACTCGTGGTCTTAATTTCAAAGTGTTCCTTGCAGCCTTTACAGTTCTAACAGCCTGTGCAATATCCATTTGTCATCTATTCAATTATCTTTAATATGAAAGGCTTGTGATCTCCTCACTTGTCCTAAATTTGACCTAGAAGCTAGCCCAAGCCTGTCAGAAAAACTCATCTCCCAGAATGCTGAATATGGAATTTTGGTCAAGCACACAAGCTCCTATTGTGTATCTAATCAAAGTCACCCATAGCTAGGGACATCACTTGCTAAAAGGTAATTATTAAAAGTGTCCTTGTAATAGTTATTGTCAGAAGAAACTTATAAGCTCTCCTTAGGTGTTGCACCAATCAACA